AGAGAAAGAGTCCAGCTACCCTAGGTTAAAGTACAGTGCTTCAATACTTAACAAAATACATTTAGAGAGCAAACATTCCCCACCTGTGAAATACCCTGTGAGTAGAACAGATGGCTTTCTATCCATACTCAATTTCTGGAAAGTCATTTGACTGCTTTTGTTGCTGAGCTTCTAGAGAAACAACTTCCCGTCTTAATTTTGTTGAGTACAGTCTGAACTAACTTTTTGTCAGTTCACTGCCTGGGTAAACTATAAATTTGCAAAGCACAATAGTGCAGTCTCTATTTAGCAGGTCTTCACCGTAGCTCGTGTTTGTTATATTTTGACCTGTGCCTGCGAACATACCTTTGGAAAAGTTGTATTGTATTAAGGTTGACATGAAAGAAAAACATTACGTTCAAAAAAAAGCACTACTATCAGCGGTTGAAGCTGTTTGAAAATTTTCAAGGAATCAATAACATTTTGAAAAAGTGCTTTCTTCCATTCAAAGTGTGGTTTGCGCTGAGTAAAATTTCATCCTGTCTTCCTATCAAGCACTCTAGTGGACTCTGATCTATAAAGCGCTATTTGGATGATGCTCATACAAAGCTCCTACTTGGACAGACCTTACAGTTTGACACCTGCTGCATCATTTGGAGAGGTTCTAGAAACATGACAAACTGAAATTGGTGACAGCTCATTCTGGAAGAATATTCCAGCCTTTATTTTGTTTTTATGAGGAGTACAAAATCATTGGGATTAAACGTAACACTTTACAAGCATAAAAACCTGGCTTTGAAAAATACACTGCAGATCTATATTCCAGATATTCCATAATGGGCACTGATACAAACCGGGCCATAAAGTGTGAGACAAAGTGAATTCTCTCTAACCCTACCATGAGCACAGTGCTTTTGGCCTGGGACATTTATTTGCTGAAGAAAGTCAAAGAAAAAGAAAAAAAAGCAGTTTGTCCAGCACTTTATATGGAAAGGTTGCTGTGGCCTTCACGACAAGGAGGATTTCATCCTGATTTGTTTTGATGCTGTCTTCTGGATCTCAGTCACAGCCCGCTGCACAGCTGCCCACGTTACACGTGCCTCTAGGCCCAGTACGGACACACAAGGCGATCAAAGCAAGGACGGAACGAGCGTGGGCAGTTACTGTCCTCCCGTCCTTTCCTCTGCTTCTTCCAAAGGTAGACACAGATACATTAGTGGGCAAGGGGACGCTGCTGCTATTGAGAGTGCGTGGTTTTTTTCTCTCATCTATCATACGCTACAGTAAACATTACAGAGGAAAGAATATAAAGGTTTGGATAAAGGTTCATGAAGATCTGCATGCGCTAGTGTTGTAGAGTAAGCTTTAAGTGCTACCTATTTGGAATTTACATTTTTTTCAGCTAGAGGACAGCTTGTACATCATACCGTATTCTGAATTCTTTTGCCAGTCCAAACATACTGGATTTAACTTTAAAGTTTTGAATTTTAAATTCAATACATCTCATTCAATTTTTATTTTAAAAGCTGTTGGTCTCTCTTTTCCCTGCAGGCATACTCCATGGAAAGATGATGAATGGTACATGCACTGTTTTCATTTGCAACAGAAATCCTAAGCTGGAGTGGTACTGTTATTTGCTGATTCTGGTTTGCCTTTTCACTTTACTAGCAGGATTTCTAGGCAATATGCTTGCGCTACGACATTATGTGTACGGCATGAAGACATGGACTACTAATACCATATTTCTCTTTAATTTGGCACTGTGTGACTTTACTTGGACTCTCATGGCACCCTTTTCAGTATATTATAGTCTCCATAAGCCAGACGTCTGTTCCAGTCAAGCATTTTATCAGATCATAAAACTATTTTTTAGTATTAATATCTATGGAAGTGTCTATTTCCTGTCACTCATCAGTTTTGACAGATATGTAGGTGCTGTCCATCCTATCACTTCATTAATATGGTGGGACAAAGGAAAGGCTGTGTTTTGTACCATTGCAGTATGGATCTTCATAGTGATTGCATCAATGCCGGAGATGTACTACACAGTTGCAGCTGGAAGACAGCAACACGACCTCAGGTATTCCCTGGATGCCACTGAAGAACCTTTACAATTTGCAGTGCCATTCACACTCTCCAAGATTGTACTGAGATTCCTAATTCCAGTAACAGTCATCTTTACATGCTATATGTTGACTCTCAAAGCATTACTACAACTCAGTAAACGTCAGCAAAGAAGGAACAGACTTGTTAGACCTCTGTTACTGATTTCAGCCGCTATGACTGTATTTGCTGTTTCTTTCATACCTTATCATGTCATGATGATGGTGATACTAATTTACAGAATTAATTGTCAACCACCCTGTGGGAACATAAGCATGTTAAGTGCCATTTATAAAGTCACAGAGATCATCTGCAGCATCAATAGTTGCCTTGACCCAATCATTTTTACGGTAGCAAATAAGACATTCTATCAAAGAATTAAAAGTATAAAATGTCATCCCAAATGCCAGTGCTGCTGTTGTCTGACAGGAAGAGTAAGGGACATCACTCTGTCCCCAAGAACAATGACTTAAACACCAGTCTACAAAGACATGCATCTCCCACTGCCCATTTGGCTTTGTGTCGTCAGACCCATTTAAAATTTGGTCTCCTGTATTGTATAGCAATCTCTTGAGTAAGCAAGAATAGACAGCAATGCAGAGTAAAACTTAATGTGTACATCTACTAGAAAAGAAACACTAGCAACTCCTAGCTTTACAGAATTGGCATTTGAAATATTCTTGTCATAAATATACCTTAATCTATTGTGAAATAGCTCTTCTTACCTGTATGTACATGTGGTATGGAATGAACAATGAAGAAAAGTTCTAAGTAGCTACTTCAATTCTTGGCCAGAAAAATACAGTAAGATTAAGAGCACACAGTGTTGAGGAGCCTTCACATAGTTTCTGTTAATTATTTTTTCATGTGTTTGTAAGCACTGCTCTGACTGGACTGTGCCATCAGTAACAGTCATGATGCTTATGGCTGAACTTCTTGAGCACTTGCAGAGAGGCTTTCTAGAAGTACTTCATTTTAATGCTGCTGGCACTGGAGTTCCACTGACACTGCCAGTGGACTCTCATTACCCCAGGTAAGTGCAGCACATTTCCAAAAACAAACAAACAGAAAATAAATAATAAGATAAGGTCCCTAAGGATATTCAGAGCCACAGTGGATCTGCTCATGAAGCAAATGAGCACGGATTGAAGAGCTTTAAGTCTTTCCCCAGGCAGCAGTGGTTCCAAACCAATAGGCAGGGCATACTGGTGGTGCCCCCCAAACCCTGGGCAATTACAGCTGTTTCTCATAACTGTTCTGCTTCAGGGGAGCGTGTCGTTCTGCCATGAACCCTAAACTCATCAACAGGGAGAAGCGTGCACAGGAAAAGTTCTGAAATACAGAGGTGGCTGGGCTGCAAGAGTAAGAGACGCTGCTACACAGGAGTGCTTCTTCTCCTGTTTATTCAGGGTCTTAGCATCACAGTTTCAGGAGTCTAAGGTAATTAGTCTACAGCGCACTTTAATAATTAAAACAGCACAATGTATAGTCATCAAAGAACATCCACCTTCAAGAGTCGCTAAATATGTGTTCTCTCAACACACTGTATGGGCAAAATAATCACATTCCATCCTCAACCACCTGCTGACCTGCTTTCTTGCCAAGTCTCACACACTACCTTGTTAATTATAAAAGCCCATATACCAGTGAGCACATAAACTTTATTTTCAGAAGTTACTATGACAAAGTACTTTTTCATACACTTTGTACAGTGTCTTAATTCTTTAATTTCCATAGTTTTAATATAATTTTGTCCTCACGTGTCTCTATGTAAAAATAATTCTATTCTACATTGGTATTAAATCTTCCTTGGTTTATGTTTCAGTTGTATTGAGTAAATGTATATGTACATATAATATCTAGAACAATGTTTTTTTTAATTGTCTATAATGGTGACATGAAATGAAGAACCAGGTCCTGATAATCTGAAACACTTTACATGTGTTCGGATGTACTAGCAATCTCACGGGATCTCACAGCAAAATTGCACACCTATATTCTGTTTAGGGGAGTTATGTACTCACCTCACTGTAAGTGCTGCTTTTTTCCTTTGATGACTTCTTAATCCTTAATTTTATCTTATTTTAAAAGAAAAATATTTACCTTTTTTTTATGCATGAATTGTCTATTGGCAACATAACAGGGTTATTAACAATGCATTGTCTTCCTTAAGAAAGAGAGCTTGTTAATCCATGAACGGGCACCCATCAGCAATTACCTACTATAATATACACTTATATCTCAGACTGATACAGAAAGAACATCAATGCCATTTAGTGACAAAGATGATCTCAGCATGGAAAACGATAGGAGAGATAAGTGTGAAGCTCTGGGATAGATGAGTATATTGCCCTCACCGATTGCATGCAAGATTGTAAACAGTAAGCTATTTCTAAAATCAAACACTTGTCATTTTTATCTTTCAATTTATCTTTAAAGGTACAGATACACCATTTCTTTCTCCCTTCTCCACCTCAGTATTGCTTTCAGCAAGTTAATTTGTCTGTGTTCAGGCTGGGTAAAATTCAATATGAAATCAAAATACACTTTTCTGGACACAAAATTAAACATAAAAACTCACTGCAGTCCTGGGCTAGAAAAGATAACTTCACACCTCTGGGAAGCAGAGATTCTCAGGTTTTACCTGCCCAGACTTCTAGTATTTGAGCTTTTTCAGGAGAGGAAACAATGACTTAGACCAGCACCTTCTCTAAATTTTGTAGTGATTTTTAATAGCAAAACAGTTGTTTTTCTGTTCAGACAGACCACTTTATTCTCACTGCATAGTATCTACTACATAGATGTTAATGTTACTGTTACATCTTAAGCAGGTATCATTAGAATGGTCTTTTGTTGTTAATGAGGAAAGAAGCATTCAGTTCAGAAGAAACTGTGAAAAACATTATCAAAGTCACTTCTTGATTTTGGAAAAAATTGGAATTTTTTCCTCTTGAAGTGCTGCCTTTATAACACCTATAAATGCAGCCTATGCTCACAAGTACCCAAAGTTGGCAAGAAAAAATTTCTAATTTCAATTAAAGATTGGATTGAAAGCCTCCAATGAGCTCAAGACAAATACAATAATTTAAAGGATCACAAATAACCCTTCCACAACGCCTGTGCAATGTCTTTTGCAAGCAGCATTAATGTGGATTGCAGAGATTCTCAAGCAAAGCCTAGGGTCCCTCTGCCTGTGTTTCAGCATGTAAAAAGAAGAACTAGGACAACAGTAAGGAAATGCTTTAAAGTCAATGCGAGAGTCTGACTCAAAAAAAAAAAAAACTAGGGAAAAATTTCATTCTGGTCAGGTAGTCACAACATAAAACACATTTAACTGAACAAGAATGACCTTTATATTCTCAGTGTGACTGAACTATGCAGTATCTCACAGAGAAAGATGCAAAATGAGATGCTTTTTAGTTTCTGTCAGCATCACCCTACCAAAGAGCTGCATGGTCCAGGGCACACATGATGGAGAAATGCCAGCAACACCCATCATGGGCCTGGGAGAGTGTCATGGAGCGCTTACTGCACTGTGCCAGTGACCAGGGAAGGACCGGGGAAGCAAACAGGCAGGGACCTGCTTTTCCAGAGGAGAATCCAGATCTCAGCCAACTCAGAAGATAAAAATTGTCATGAAACAGTATGTATCAAGATGATACTGATTTCTGCTGCGTATCCTTTGATCCTCCCTGATGACCAAGAATATGACCAAGAGACATAGGCAGCATGGATGGCAGTCCTGCTCTAAACTCTTTCCTGGGGACAAGCAGGAGCAAGCTGGACACTCCCTCAGTTCACTTATGTAGGACTGAGTAAGGTGGGTCTCCTAGCTCCTCGGTTCACTGTTCTGGGCTCACCTGCAGAACAAGGGGCAAACTGTTCGGACTCTGAAACTCTAGTAAAACCCATTTTTCTGCATTGCTCCTTTTTGTGTCCCACTGAAAGAAAAATATGGCATAAACTGTGTTACAAAAGTAAATCCTTGCCTCTGTGTCTGTTTCAGTAACTGGATGCAATCCTACATGGTCCACACGATCTTATAAAGCTCATTAATTTTCTATCAATACAGCCATCTATAACAGAGGTCCTGAGGTACTCGCACACGTATGAGAAAAAGGGGAAGGAAAAGCAAAGAAACCACCTTATGCTTCTGAAAAGATTACTCCCAACCAACCCCGAATAATGAAGAACAGAAGGGAAAAAAGAAGACTGGGCATTCCTACGAAAAGTATATGTGTCACAGTGCTTCTGTCATCTGTTCTCCCAGCCTGAGCATCTCGCACAACATGCCTTGTGCTGGGCTGAGTCTAAAGGCACCGCGTAATCTTTAAAAATCATCTTCAGGTCACAAAACTCATGGAAAATCCTTCCCTCTCTTACTGTCAGCTATTCATGTTCCTCATGATACTCAGCTGTGAATACACTCTAGTAGCTGACAAGGCTTCTAGACATTTGTTTGCCTGTTCATAAGTGATTCTATAATCAATTAAACACACTTTTTAAAAGCGTTTTTGTTCAACTAGGCTGAACTAATGTTAATGTTGTCCTGACTGAAATCAAAGGTTTTCTACAAAATAAAAGTTAAAAGGCGCAAGACATCTGTTCATATTTACTTGGTCATATTTTTATTTGAAAATACATGCTCCTAAAATGTTTTATTATAATATTCTCCGGATAGAATGACATAAACAAATAAAATTAAATAAGTTCATTCCATTTTGCTACAATAAGCGGACAATAAACCGAACAGCTAAGAGCCACAGTCAACATCCTCTACTATGACAAGTATGTTGCAATACTGGTTTCTCACAGATCTTTGTTTGGATTAAAGCTGAGGACATGGTATCCACTCAAATGCCCAACTGTTATACTGAGTTTGAACACATTATTGAATGTTGTCATGTATCAGCCTATAAAACTGACTGCAAGGTATGGGTAGCTTTCATGTACCAATATCTAGATTCTCAGATAGTACAGTGATGGACGTCTTTGTAATATACCAGATAAATAGAAAATAGACCAGGGCCTGAAAGATTTGACTGTTTATGTATGTGCTCAACTGTGGTCAGAGAAACAACCTTCTCATTTATTACTGTCAATTCAGCATTGTTTTGTAAGCATAAATTGTTAAAACAAAAACCTCTAAGTTGAAGAGGTACATTTTGCTACAGATGTCCCAAAGCTGCTTTCTGAGGAAAACCACCCTTATGTATCCACTGTTCTCCATTTGCCTTTGTAATACTTTTATCTCACAGATTACCTGAAATTTTCACACTTATTAAGACATGAGCTTACCTTTTTTAAATAAAAATGTTCAAACGTTCCTGAAAGTTTGGTTTTCTCTTCAATATACATAAATGAATGTATTCTGATATCAAAGTTTTTCTTTTCCATGCCTCAGAAACACCCCACTTAGCAAAAAGCTATGACAAACTACCACGAGGCAGTTAAAATACTTCACCTCTGTACACTGCTTTCATATGTGGAAGCCAAAGCTCTTTAGGAAGAAGAAAAAATATGCCTAGACTGATTCTACAGCTGGAGGAACCACGGCAGAGATAGGTAATGTGGCTAAGTCCACCCATCCACCTCACAGAGAAATGTAGCTTCTCTGCTCCTGCCTCAGAGACACATCCAAGTCTCAGGGCTGCCAAGTCTCCCCGTGCTGTGCCTGGAGCCCGCAGCCAGAGGTGATGGGATGTGCTGACCCCCATGCAGGGACCTACCACCTCTATAGCCCCCCATGCTCTCTTTTCGGGCCTTCTCCCAACTTACCACTTACCAGCTCAGTCCCTTCCTCTTCACATGACTCAGCATGGATGAGGCTTCCTCTGGCTGGGAAAGGTGAACCTTAATCAGTGAGCACTGCAGTTCTCAGCTTTTGCAGTCTAAGGTAAAATGCAGCCTAATGTCACAAAACGTACATATTCAAGGTCTTAGCTACTGACCTAGCTAGAAAAGCGGTGTCCTCACAAAGTACATCGTGTGCTAGGGCAACAGGAACCTCCATCTCCGCTTTCCCACCAGTCCAGCCAATGTCGGTCAGAAGATCGACATCAGTAGCCAGACATCTTTCCATCAGGCTTCTTGTGCAGCCTGTCTTTCCCGATTTGGGTGGTCTCAAGGGCCTGTCGTGAACTAGAAACTGCAGGTGAGCAAATGCAGGCGAAACATAGCACTCTGCCTTCCTCCGAAATGCCACATAGTCTTTAAAGACTGCTTGCTATTTCTCAAAGAAAAAAGAACAGAAATACAAATGTTCATAAGAATACACATTCACCTTTTATCAAAAAAATAAGAGCAGCAAAACTGCAAGGAAAGGGCTGACATTTC